TATTTTAGAAAAACTTCTCCAGACTTTAAATGAAGACAGAGGAGGCCCATGCAGAACAATTACAATGGAGAATTTGTTTACAGGCTGTCACTAGGAGAGACATAATGCTTCCCTTTATCATCACCTGTCAGAGCAGTGACAGCCTGTAAACAGCCTGCCCATGCATTATTCTTTGTCACCACTTGTGCCAGCTCTTGCCCTAGCAGGTGCCTGGCATGTGCAAACTTACGAGTCAGGGATTCATTTGATCGGCACTGTAAAGAAAAGTGTGAAGTATTTCCTTTTAAATTAACAAATTAGGTATTTGTTCCACTTATCCAATGGCAAGGGCTTTGGCTTCTTTGTATGCAAAAAGTACTATTTATAGCTTACTGTAGAATTTAAATACTGGCTTCTCTCTCCTGCCCAGTTCTGAAAGTGGAATTTATATAATACTACAGAATATAAATTAAACCATCCTACCTCCCTGTTCTATTGTCATGGTAAATATGTTCAAATGGTTTCCTTTGGAAATGAATGGGCAGAATGTGCTGTCCTCTGGACATTTAAATGTCTTTTTGTTACAGGTTGCTTTCTATTTTACATACTGCATTATAATTTCTTTAAAATAATTTCTCTAGAATTATAGTTTGGTGCTGGCATAGCAAAGATTCATGCATGTTTACTTGTCTACTTAAGTTTGCTTATTTGTAAATATATATATGTAACATACAGGGTTTGTGTGTGAGATGCTTCTTCTGCAGATAGTATTAGCAACAAAATAGTTGGCATCTGTGAGAAAATGCAGTTGTACTGTAGGAAATAAAATATTTGGTGTTCTCTTCTGTGAGGGAAACTTATGGAGTTCTGTAAAAAGGGGAAGTTTATTCTAATAGATTTGGCAAAAGACAAGATTTTTAAAAGCTAAATTTGTTAGTAAACAGTGATACTATTTGTAAATCAAAAATGTGACTCAAAATGAAAGATATATTTTACTATTTATATTAATAGTAGAAAATACTACAGTTTTCTTTAAAACTACTACTGTTCTACTATCTCTGGCTGTTACTCTGTGTTTATTTTTGCTTTTAGAGATTGGTAAAATTGGAAACAGATAGTGCCTCAAGTCATTGCAGGACAAATTAGAGTATGAGATCACTTTTGTAATGACTTAAGTTTAAAAAATTGTCGTTATGGATCCAAAAGGGAATTTGCTTTCTTCACCTTAAGGTATTTTCATTCTCACAACCATACTGGAGTTGGTCATTGAAATAAAATACTTTGTGATTTTTTTATAGTTATTTTAGCTATTGACAATTTTTTCCCAAATAAATTCCCAAACCACCTCCCTTGCCATATCTCAAAAATAAAGATACAATAGGTATTCTTGCAGGCCTCTATTTGACTATGTCGTGACTTACTGTTAGGATATTTCTAACATGTAACTGGTTTATAAAATGTGGATACCTTACGTGTCTCTAGTAATCCATAGTTTGTATGTAGAGCTGATCTTTTAATGTCACTTCTCTAACTAAGCTGTTTAAAATTCATAAGTCATTACTTTTGTTTTCTTCATTACTATTTCCGGATATGTCTAAATGAGGATGCATTTAGAATTCTGTGTAAACAAGATGTGCAAATTTTATTTGTGTGTTTCTGCTATTTTTTTTTTTTTACTTGTTCCTTAGCAACAAGGAGAAAATAATAAAATCCTTCAGTCACTGGACTAATTGAGTAGATGAAAATAATTTTGGGATATATAATTCTGTCATCAAAAGATGTGCTGGATGTTTTAATGAAATTCTTCACAAATCAGGTGACATGCTGTCTAAAATGCATGAAGAGCTATCTGAGAGAGAGGGAGCGAGGTGGTGCAGAGATTTGTTTGTTCCACAGAACTTCAGTGAAAGAAAAAAAAAATAAAATTTGAGAGACCTTTTTCCTGAGTTTGCAAGGAATCTAAAGCAATGAAAGAACAGTATGAACTACCATAAATTTAATAGATTTCAAACTTCAATACAACTAATGACAATCAAATCGTATTATTCAACTCTATTGTTATTTAGAAATTGATATAAAAACAGAAAAGAATGTATCATAATTTGATAGTTTACATCATCTCTCCCTGAAGTGTTTTCCTGAGAAGATAGGCACTCAGCTTTCAGAATTTGCTCACTGAAAGATGTGGAAGGAATCAAATTAATTCCTTTGTATGAGACTGAATTTCAGTGAATTAATTTGGCTCAAGACAAGTGATAACGATCAGAATGCATGAAAAGAGTGTGTTTGTATTAGTTCATTTAAACAGCAGTGGTTGCCATATTGGAACTGCCTGCTGTAAGGGCCTTACCCTAACCATTGTGACACTTAGCTAGTGAAGGCCCAGCTCACGTGTGCCTACAGGTACCAGAGAGCCTACCAACACCACAAACAATTTGGATTGTCCAAGTAAGGCTCCTGCTTCTCTCCATCAGAGCATTTAGGTGCTTTCTTGGTAGCTGCCTTCACCTACAAAGAGGGAACTGCCTAGAAACAGGAAAGAGTAAAGCAATTTGTCTGACACATAATGAAATTCAGAGCTATGTAGTAGCTGTTCAACTCTCGGGTCTACTAGAGTCTCATCAGTGAACCCCTCTCTGAGGGTAGGCAGGTGATGATGGGAGATTTGTGCTATAGCCAAGGCATTTAGTGATTGCATCCAGAGTTGGAGAGGTGTGTTCTGGCTGAGCAACACAGTTCTTTTTTAAGGCTTGTCTGAACAATGTGCAGCAGTGTGGTCTTCCTCTTGGTGCTGAGTCCCTGTGCACTATTCAGTGCAAACAAACTAAACACTTGTGGATGGAAAAGGAGAAGGGTTAAGTGACCTTTGAGAACTACAGGAAATTTCTGGTGTCTGAGAACTAACAGAACCTATGGTACCTAAGTGATTAGATTTGATTTACTTTGGAAATATGTAACAACCTGTCACTTTTGAGTGATTTTTTCACTATTTTTTCATTTTTCATGGCTATTAGATGATACAATTTACAATATAGAAAATATCCAGAATGACAGCTCTAACAGACTTTCTTATATTACTGCAAGGTCTTTGTATCTTTGTTTTTAAGGTCTATTTCCTTTCTTCTATATTCCTGTGCTATGGGAATAGTCTCAATGGAGCTCATAAAAACAGAAAAACAGTTCAATAAATATACACTTTAACAGTTTTGCCTGTGGGCACAAAATGATCCAGGGCTTGAATAAACCTCAGTTCAGTCACAAAACTGAATTGTAGCTGGTAGCTAAAATGAGTCAGAGTAGCACACAGGCCTTGTCCTGTGAATATGATCGGTCATACAAAACCCTCCATTTAAGAACAGTTCTCGACATTGTTGCTGTTGGGATTTTATTGAGAGTGTAAATAGTGAAATGGGATGGAAAAAGGGATACTTCTTTCCTTCTTATTTAGGAATTTAAATGTGTGTTCTACAGTCAGCCACAAAGCAGAAGACAAAAACTTTCTATATTTATCTTAATGTCATTATTTTTGTTTTTGTCTCAGACTTGCTTTCCTCACTTGACTTAATACTTCTCTCAGGCAGTACAATGAGCACAATCCTCTCTCTTGACTCAGGATGTCTCCAGAGTGTTGAGTTTCTCCTCCCAGAAGCCCAACTTGTTCTGTAATCATTGCAGTGGGATGTTCCCAGTCCCTCTTCTGTGCCAGTGTGCATCAGGATTCCTCAATATAGAAGACTATCCCATGTAGTACTCTTCCACTAAATACACATCAGTGTTCTACTTCTTCCTAATTTGCAGGTAGCTTTGGAATGTTGTATGTGTTTGTCAGCTAGGAAAAAAAAAAAAAAACAAGATGAAAATAAACATGTGGAGGAAGCTCTATTTCACTGGAGCTTAATTTTATTTTTACACAAGATCCTGTATTGTCTGTGCTGTGACTTGTTTGCTCATTGCCTTAAATTTTTATGTCAGCATTATATACTCTAGGACACTGCTAAATGGAAATCCTTTTGCTAGTCCACAGCAAACTTCTTGCAATTTGTAATGATGGAAGAACAGGATAAGGCCTGTGTTGTCCATAAAAGTCCAAAGAATTAGTAGCTGATACCAGAAACAAGCATAAGCTGGCCATTTCCATGAGACATAGCTTGCAATCTTTAGCATCACTAAATGTAGCTTGTCAATGGTTTTAATTATTAGAGACTAAGCTTTTCTCTCCCTTTTCCCCATGAATGAAATTATCATATTTTTCCAAAGTAACAAGTGGCAAGCTGAGGTGTTATAGCAAAGACAAAAGATCAGGACTTGTGGTTTAGATGTATTTAGGAAAAGGAAAAACTGTAGCGTGTTTTTTGTTGTTGAGGTTTTTTATGATTCTTAGTGTGCATTTCTTGTCAGAAGAAAAAATATTCCAAAAGATGATGTTTAGTGATACAAACAGAACCAGATTTTGCAGATCAGAAAACCTATCAACTACTCTACATTTCAGCCTAATTTTATTAGGAAGTCAGCTGTCTGTGTTTTCTGCTTCATGCTGGTATCTAACTATTAAGATCTTCCTTCATGTCTGTTTCCCATCCCATTACACAAACAAGCTCATTGGGCTAGTTTTTTGGTTTTTTTAATTTATTTCCATGTATAGTTCTTCACAATAAATTGATATAGGAAACTGACTTGGAAAGGTCACTGTTTATAAAATGACATGCCAGAATGTTTATATGGCCCTGGGCTGCAGGAGCCAGAGAATGGATGAATATCCTGCAGCTGTTTTGACCATTATATTGTGGATGGCAGGTTGCCAGCAACAACTGCAGCAGAATGTCAGGGTCTTCCTTTGTGTGATAAAAGAGAGAATATTTGCACTTTCTGAACCATCTCAGGAGGATGTGTGGCAGAGTTTGGAGCACTTGAAGTGACTAAGATGGAAGTAGATAAGCAGCTTGCAGGTTGTACACCAACTGTCCTTCTGTTGGCTCCTTCAGGCCCGGCACTGCTGACACTTTTTTTGCCTTTCTTTCTAGAACATTTAAAAGAGAAGCTGGAGGAGTACATGCTCCGCTTTGCCAAGGTGAGGATTGTGCGCACCAAGAAACGAGAAGGGCTCATCCGGACCCGGCTGCTGGGAGCCTCGCTGGCTAGAGGAGAAGTCTTGACATTTCTGGATTCCCACTGTGAAGTCAACGTGAACTGGCTGCCACCCTTGCTTAGTAAGTGCATGAGCTTCATCAGACATTAAAATCAGAACATACAGCCAGGAACTGAAGCTGTGTCCCACAGTAAGCAAGAAATACACTGTATTAAAGTGTTTGGAGTTCTGCTGAAGTTCTGATCTCTCTGAAGTGTCAGTATGAGAGATAATTCCAAGAAATGTGAGCAACTCCATTTTTTTTCTTGAGACTGAAGAATATGTAAAATCTTGCAGTAACGCTTCAGCCTATAGTAGTTACAATTTATTTTATTATTACTACTACTAAATACACTGCTATATCTAGTATAATGTTATGTCCTTACTATACACCTGAAAAGGTTTGTTAATGCAGGTATTGTATTCCTTCCTAGTTTTTCACATTGCATTAAAATAGTTTTAGCTGTAAATATATCCAAGGCGTCAGTGTTAAATCCAATAGCAATAGCATTCACAACAGGAAGCTCAGAAAGAATGATTTGCTATTAACTGTTGTGCTGTATTCCAGCTGCAGCTAGCAAAGCTCCATTAGTTAAAGGAGTGGAAAGAATCAATTGCTGTAGTCTAGGATTTCACTTCTGGAAACAATGTTCTCTTTTCTACACACCTGACTACATGCAGAGTATATACACTGTGCAAAGTGAGTGCTTTTTGCTACCATAACCGAAGAAAATTTCTGAGCTGCCTAATAAAGAAATTTGTATTCATTAAAAAAGTCTGCTGTAAGTACACAGAAGGTTATGGTTTCGCTAATTAATGGTTATTGTTCCTTGAATTCTGTTGTTAGGACTCTTGGGCCACACAGTAAGCTGATAAAGCATTTGCAGCAACATGTGCATTCTTCTAATGAGCTATCAGTAGAGACCAAGAAAAATACTATTAACTAGTTTCTCTTCAGATTAGTAATAAGATAATGCACAAAATTCCAAATATTTATCTTTCCTAGCTTCCATATCAAATCATGCATACATGATGCATGATCCCCTTGTTATCCCCTTGTCCTCAATCACATCTGCATTTTTAAAAACACCTCCTTGTCTTCATGTAAAACAGAAGTGTCATAAAGGAGCAGAGAGAAATCCAAGTTGAGGCCAGTTCCCTTTGTTCCGTCTCGAGGAGAAGAGACCGACCCCCACCTCACCACAGTCTCCTTTCAGGCAGGTGTAGGGAGCAGTAAGCTTTTCCATGGGCCTCTTTTTCTCCAGGCTGAACAACCCCAGCTTCCTCAGCTGCTCCTCACAGGACTTGTGCTCCAGGCCCTTCACCAGCGCCGCTGCCCTTGACTGAACTCACTCCAGCCCCTCAATGTATTGAGGGGCCCAGAACTGGACACACGACTTGATGTGTGGCCTCACCAGTGCAGAGTACAGGGGGACAGTCATTGCCCTGGTCCTGCTGGCCACACTGCTGATCCAGGCCAGGATGCCATCGGCCTTCTTGGCCATCTGGGCACAGCTGGCTCTTGTTCAGCCACTGTCAGCCAGCACCCCCAGGCCCTTTTCCTCTGGCAGCTTCCCAGATGTGCATCTCTAGGCCTGTAGCACTGCATGGGGTTGTTATGACCCAAGGGCCTCAGTTCTGTCTCCAGACAGTCCAGATACCTCTGCAGAGCCTTCTTGCCCTCCAGCAGATTGACATTCCCATCCACCTTGGTGTCATCTGCAACCTGTGTGAGGGTGCATTTTATCCCCTCGTCTAGATCATCAGTAAAGATATTAAAAAGTGCTGGTCCCAGTACAGATTTCCTGGGGAACAACACTTCCAAAATTCTACCAGCTGGATTTAACTTCATTCACCACAACTCTCTGGGCTGGCCATCCAGCCACTTTTTTATCTGGTGAAAAGTGCACCTTTATGAACTGCCAACTTCTGCAGGAGAATGCTGTGAAAGACAGTATCAAAGGCTTTACTGAAGTGCAGGTGGACAATACCCAGAGCCTTTCCCCACATCCACTTGGCAGGTTACCTGCTTATAGAAGATCATGTTAATCAAGTGGGACAAGACTCTCATAAACCCATCCTGGCTGGGCCTGATCCCCTAGCCTGTGTGATCTCTCATGAGATAATCTGTTCCATACATCTAGCTAGATTTCACCCTGTAAAAACCAAAAAAATAAATAGAATAGCAACAAAGGATTCATAATTGCAGCCAGGTTGCAGTTGGGTATTGAACTCTCAACCTCAAACCAGAAAACTGAAAAGACAAGAGCAACTGCATCAAGTGCCCCTCAGTTCTGAAGAGAAATGAAATCTTTCTCATTCCACATAGAGTAGAATACCTGTAGATAACCAACCCACCAGAGGACCTATAAATTAGTCTTGAGGAATACTGAAGCCCAGAATCAAGTCTGTTTTATTTTAAAAGAAAAAGTAGAGCATTACATAAAGGACAAGTAGAAAATGAACACACATCTAGTATATTTTCCCTGTGCCCTATTTTCTAAAGGAATGAGAAATTTTTCTTATCAACTTCAGATGGCATATATTTACTATACTGAAATCAGATGACATCTGACTGCTAATAATAGTAAAGTTAATGTATGTTTTCAAGATTTTATCTGAAGTGATATTTTGTAATTCACTCAGCACTACATGTGACTGAAAGTCATTCAGGGAAGCCACAACAGAGGACATGTTGAGTGTTTATTGCTTTGAAGCTGCCCTGGTTTAGCTCTGATTGTATCTGGCATGCGTAGTGAAAAATCCTCAACAAGTACATGGTTCGGCCCTGCTCTGGGCTGGCAGTCTTTGCTGAGAGGAGCAGTGGCTTCCACTGCCCCAAACAGGTTTTGTTCCAAATGAGACCTTGAAAGTTAGAGGTTGGGGAGGAGGGTGAGGAACCAAGAGCAATCACTTAAAGATGGTTCTCAGAGCTATTTAAGTATCTAACTTAAATTTTCAGAATTAGCTATCAGCTTTTAGGCCAAAGGAAGACTGAGTTATTTCAATACTTTTAGGGTATCTAAATGGCTTTGTGGAGCTGAGACACAGTTGTTTTCAGATACAGTCCTTTGTTTTGTTTTCTTAAAAATGGGGGTAAAATGCTTTTATTTTATTTAAGCTTTATTTAGTTTATTTCTTTGCTTAAATGGGCTCTTAAGCTTAGGTAAGACATTCTGAGATACTAGAGAGTTTTGACTGATGCTCTCTGAGTAGGCAGCTGTAGTGATGTAAGAAGGTTGGCAAACAGCTGTTTGTTGTCATCCCTCAGCAGAAGGAAAGATGTGGCTTGGACTCCAGCAGCTGACAGTTCTGTGCAGTGTGAAGTCAGTTATTGCAGGTAAGAAACTGAGCAGCAAACCAGAAAGGTACAGGCATATATTTCCTTCTGCTGATGCTGCTGCAGGAACAGTAAGAGGAGAGATGGACAGTAGATCAGCAGTGACATAGGCTACTAGCACTAGGTTTGTTAAAACAGATTCCTTCCCTGATGAAGAATTAAAAATATATCATCTTCGGATTATGCTAAGCAAGTTGTCAAAACACCTGCTTGTTATCCATCTTCACAACAGGTATACGATGTATTGCTTGACAGTGGAGAAACTGAGGGTACAAGTACATTTGGCAACTCAGAAAACAAGAGATAATTTGCTGAATCTGTCCAATTTTGTCACTACCTGTAGTCATGTATTTGAGTACGGCAATAAAAATATTTGCTTTGAAAAATTGCAAAAATAAGACTGTTTGCCATTTGGCATTGTTACCTTTTCCAGCCCAGTTTGAAACATGCACTTGAAATTAAAAGGGTGCCTGTTCCTCATAGAGATAAAACCTATATTTCTGAGATAGTGACTCATCCAATATTGAAAACTTCTGTTTGTTGCCACATATGGTTACTCGCCTTGATCCTAAAAGTGCTGAATTCGAATATATATGTATATATTGGCTAAAATTTCTTGGGAGAAAGCTCACCCAATTTTTGGCTTTTTCTTTGGGAGAAAGCTCTCCCATTGCTTTGTCCCAACATTTCTTAGGAGAAAGCAATGCCCCCTCCTGTTCTCAGGCTTTCCCTCAAATCTATATGATTTTTGTGTGATGCTTATCTGTTTGCTCTTCCCTTTAACTGAAGCCTATATGCAGTGAAACAATGCATGGATATTTTCCAACCAGTAGGAATCTGTAAGGGGATGAGGAGTAAAGGCAATGGAAGAGAAAGTGTAGAGCATTTCAGCTGTGCCTTTCAGTGTGGCATTTAGGAGCAGGTGGAGGAAAGAGCAGTGGCTGATAAAGGCAGCACCATGTTTGCATATCTAAGTCTGTGATACCACCACACTTGTGAAATGTAAGTTAGCCCTGCAGCCTTTTCTTTCTGTTTCCTAAATTCACACTGGGGCTACATTAAAGCTTAAGTAGTATGTATGTAAAATTCATTATTTTAAGCATACTGAAGGAAACATTGAGACTGAGAGTTTGGTTACTTTGTCTTTTGGTGTGCACAACTACAAACACCCTGATTTCATCAAAAGGCAGGATTTTCCTGTGGTTCCTTATCTCTAAAATATTTTGGAGACTGAGAAGTGAGTTCTACAGAAACACACTAAGGCAGGTAAGCATACTTGCAGAATTCTTGAGAGTTGCAGAAATGAAGACTGGGATTGAGCTTGAGCATTGCTCAAAAAAATTTCCCCCTGACTATCTCTGCATGTGACTTGGAGACTTCAAATCCTTCGGTGTATTTAAAGACAGCAGCTTTTAAAGATGAAGAGAAGGATGCTAAGCATTAAGAATCTACCTTTGACCTGTTCCAGAAAAATCAATCCCATTTAGTTCCTCTACTCCAATCAGTTTAGAAGGGGGGATCAGAGACAGATTGTTATAAGCCCTATAACTATTAGAAGGGCCATCACAGGAAAGAGATTATGTAAAAGTGACTTTATATAATGATCACAAATAACACTATACAGTGTGCTAGTGAATGTAATTATATTTGGCAATAGCAACAGTAATGCACCTATTATCTCTGTGATGAGTTTCCTAGAATTTTGTGAGAGCCTGTGCTTTAAATTATTTCACTATTAAAGAATAAGGATGTAAAAACCTGCTGAACTTCCAGTCACAGTAATTTCTCACTAGCAGCATTGATTCCTGATTTGGATAGTGTTTCTAAACTTAAACTTCTGAGAATAACTATAAAGACCCAGATCTTTTGTGAAAATAATCTTTCTTTCTTAACTCCAGTCCTGCAAAAGCATGGAAGCAGAATCTGTATTATTAATCATTATACCAGTATTACCTGCCTTCCTATTTAAGTGTTTAATCCACACACAGCATTCTGATTATTTTTAGGGTATTATCAAGCATCAGTGAAATATAAAAAAACAAAATCAAAAAACTTCCACAATCAAAATTTTTCCACATAGGCCCTAAAATGTACTAAATAATATAAGGGATCTAAGCTGCCATTCAGAGAAAAAGCTTTATTATACTTGGAATTTTAAGATTTTAGGAGGTTTTTGAGGGTTCCTAGGTAGTTTTTATTGTCCTTTCACGTCACCACAGCTATAGGTTTTCTCTGTACTTCCTCATTTCAAACCATTATTCTTCTGCCTAGTTCTTGACATTGGCCTATCTTCTTTACTTGTCTTTCTTTTCAGAGGAGCTCTATAGGATTAAGCAATAGAATTCACCAAAGCAGACTCAGGCCCAGCTGAGCTTACACTAGTGATGGGAATTTGATTTAGTCTCACAGTTCTAATTTTTTTTTAAGCAAAACTAAACTAATTTCTTTAGAAAGCAGGTAAGAATAATACTGTGGAGTCTTCTCTATAACTGAAAGATTGGTACGCAAAAAAGGACACAAGCTCTCTGTGTTGGAGTTTGCCTTTAATTTGGAGCATTTGATTTCAAAGCTGATGCTCTCTACAGCCACAGGAACAGTGACTGAATGGTTGCAAGGGCTGAGATTCACACTTAGGAATAAATCTCTCTCTCAGGGGCTTCCCAAATATACTCCCCACAGATGAGGGAGCATTTTTACCATTTGCTTGCTGGCTTGTTCCATAGCAGACAGACTGGGGACTGCTCAGAACAGCAATGAGAGAGAGATGCTGAAGACTGGACTCCTGTGGGTCTCACAGGATGTGCTTCTGTCTAAAGAACCATAAATACTTCTAATCATTGCCCAACTGCATTAATTCTACTTTAAATAAAGGTTTGATACAGATTTGAAAAATGAAATTATTTGGGGCCACAGGGCACAAAGCAAAAAATCTTCAAACATCAGAAACCTGTGGGATTCACTTTTCAGTAATATGATAGATGGCTTGACTAGACATGCCATTTCCTATTTTCTACTTTCATTTTTCAGACCAGATTGCACTTAACCACAAAACCATCGTGTGTCCTATGATCGATGTCATTGACCACAATCACTTTGGCTACGAGGCGCAGGCGGGGGATGCCATGCGAGGAGCTTTTGACTGGGAAATGTACTACAAACGAATACCGATTCCTCCAGAGCTCCAGAGAGCTGATCCCAGCGACCCCTTTGAGTAAGTAGCGATAAAGGGGAGAGTGGGAACATGAAGAAGGGGAAGCAAAAAGTGTAACTGTAGCAGAATCCAAGCCCAGACATTTCCATGTAGGCCACTTTCTGCTAATGAAAGGTTATAGAAGAAAACACCTGAAAACTAGGAAAAATATCAAGGCAACGATTTGTAGAATTCACAAACTCTGCATGGAAATACAACCTTCCTCAGTGACTATACATAAAAGACAGGCACATGCTTGTAGTTAAGTATTGGCATCAGACAAGAAGTGACAGGTATTCTGTTTATTTCACAGAGTCTTTATTTAATGTTTTATTTTCTGGAGATTGATGCAATATATGCATCAGCAGCTGAGTCTACGTTACACCAGCAGATGCTTTGCCTATAAGTGATGATATGGCTGCTGTATATGCAGTGCTGTAACTTAAATACAGAGCTGTCAAACCTGAACATTGTCAAGATGATTTGTAAATAGTTTTAGATAAGACAGCCTCTGATCCCAGTATTGTAGAGATCAGCTCATTCACAGAAATGATCTTCCTTCTTTTCACAAAGGTACATCCTTTTTTCTTATCTTTTAATTATTCTCATGTAAGGATCAGCCTGGATTAATCCTTATCAAAAGAGAAAGGACAGACAGACAGACATGTCTCTCACACAGGCACATCCCAGCAGGGATGCCAGAAGGGCAGGCTCTGACACTTGCTAACCCTGGCTGAACCTCCACACTGTAGGTTATGGCAGTTTGAAACCTCAGTGTTCTCCCCTTCCCAAAGCAAAACCTGGAAACAACAGCAACAGAAGAACTGGGTCTCTGACCCCAGTATCCAGGGAATGACCAGCAGGGAGGAGTGTGGCGTTTGTGGGCTCACTTTCATTTTTCTACTTGATCTTTTTTGCTTATCTCTATCCAGGCCCTTCAGTTTTCATCTTGGGTTACCATAAGTGCCGATGATGTACTTTACCTCAGGTGCCAGTGTGACCACTTGTTACTGATCAGGTGGGAGATTCAGGCAAGCCCTGCTTTAGCCTCAGATTTTTGACAGCAGTTTAAATTTAGTATGGCCCACACCTAAAATCATCCAGCCTGCAAGTTCTAAGGATGGTAGATCAGGTTTATTATAAAATCAGTTATTTATTGGATAGGCAACAACAGACAAAAGGCCTTAAACAGAGGCTTTACACTTGTTACACAGTATAAAACAAAGAGAACCAGTAGATTACATAAAACAGTGCACAATATTGAGGTACCTATATTAAAGCTAGCCAAGAACTAGTATAGATTAGGAGTCAGTATAATTTACCACCGAAATAACAATAGTGTACAGAGTCCTTGCACTTAGTTCCCAGGAGAGTAACCATAAAGTAGGCTTTCTCCATTTGAGGAGAAAGCCCCACACATTTCCAGGGAACATGCAGAAGATTTCTGCCTTGTGGAAGTTTGGTGTAACTTTTATATTTTGTAAAGCAAACTTTCAGTCAGAAATTCCTGCTTATCTTTCCAGATCTCACTTCCACAGCAAAATATCTATTGACAGCTGGAGGCATTTACTTTCATGGCGCCAAAAAAGTCACTGCAAGACAAGCTGTCTTCAGTGAGTTATTTCACTGATTAGCAAGCTCTCGTGAAGGGCAAGATGCCCTGAGTTATTTCACCAGCTAACAAGACATAGATAAACTCTTCTGAGGGGCCCTGCCACACCATTCCACAGCACAGATGCAGCTACTGCAATCCCATAACACTCCAGAGCTGCTAGATCTTCAATTGCTCTAAGTCTTCTTGGTCCTCTGAGCAGTTGTAGGTTCTTGGCACTTACTGAAAGTAACCTTTATATAATTTGGTCCAGCATTCAAAGTCTGTATAAGTAGAACTTCTCTATTGTCAACGTAGCTACAGGGTTGCTTATCAGTTGTTTCGCATTCACTGATTGTAGTGTGCATCTTGTAGAATCTTGTTGCAAAGACACGAGAGGACTAAATAGGAATCTCTCGTAGGAAACTTCCTAGAAAGACAAGGTTTTGTGCAGTACAGAATAGATGCAGTGGTTTTGCATGAACTGCTGTTCCACTCAGCATGGCAGCACTTGATACCCACCTTGCCCTGCCCGCGTGAGACACAGGCAGATAAATGGCTTCTCAAGGAACAACATATAGTACAATGCAGCCTATAAATCTCTTGTAATCTGAGTAGCTGTCAGGTGGAAAGACTTCCCTGTTCTTACACAAATCAGTGAGAGTCTTCCTTTGTTTTCCCCATAACAAGATGCACATCAGAGTGATGCTGCTGGAAAAGCAGCATTGCTCAAGGGACCATCATGTCTGCTCCCACACATGCCAGCAGGACTGAAGGCTGGCTGAGCTAGGACAATATGCTTGCTTAAAAGTACCCTCTGCCTAAAATGGCAAATGAGAATAGCTATGTTTTAAATAATCAGTATGAATTTTGCTTAGGGGAAGGATAATTTTCTAATTCAGAGTCAGTACTGCTTCTCTCCTAGGGCCTTCTCTGCTGAGACCTCAAGTTTTTAATACCTTGCTTACAACCAATACAGTAAACGTTGCAAACCATTTTACCTATCAGTAACTTAATTGACCAAGACAGCTTCTGTGAAATAAAAGATACAGAACAGTTTTCCTTTAGGTACATATGCACTAAAACTAGAAATTGCTTCAGCCAGCACCATAATTATTATGCTACTATTTTGTAAGCAGTAGGGACTTTTTTTTTTTTTTAGGTTAAATATTTTACTGTTGGTATCGTAATAGTTTTATTTCTTGCCAGCAGAGTCAGATCTGAGATGATCCCTAATGAATTGGAAAATTGCCAGCATTTTTAGTAAAACACCAGCAAATAATAGATACATGATCCAAAAAGTCTGCTGATGAGTTTTCCCCCTCACTTAAAATGCCAACGCAGTATATGTGTGAAGCAGAAAAGGTCACATCAGCCTAAGAAATAATGTACATAAAATCAGATCAAACTACAGAAGACCTAAGAGCAGTTGTTGTATTATCTGCATGGTACATTTGCTTTCCATCTGCACATATCAAAGTACTGCTGCAGCAGACACCAGCAGCATGTTTGCAGCTGACACAACCAGCTGAAATGTTGGCAGGTAGGCTCTTGGTATGACAGGAGCACGAATCTTACTCAGCTCCAATGCCAGCTCAGCTAGTGTTCTGGAATTAATCTTTTTCCATGTTTTAATTGTTTTTTAATAGTATTCCACTGTGGTCAGTTTTGACCAGGTGCTCTCCCGTTAGACACCATCTATCTAAATATGGTCTTCCAGTTCAAAATCCCTCTTGTGAAGAAGAGACATTTTCATCCATTTGTGGTGTGAGTGTAGTCATGATTTATTGTTCCTATGTCTGCAGTGCCACTTGGGCTGCATCTCCATCCTTTGCTGTGACAGAACTCGGAGCTTTACTGCAGCTCTCAGTGAACTCTCACCCATTCTCAGGCCCTCTGCAGTTGTTCACAACAAGTAGCTTTACACAAAGATTTAGCTTGATGTTTATGACTTTAAGACTGTAAAATGCTCTCAAAAGCTTCCAGTGTCAAATTCACGTACAGATGATATACTAGCACCAACCAGGGAGTCATATTACAAATTTGTAACTGCACTTGGGTCAGGCAGCATTCATGCACAAATTTATCCATTTGGTTAACATATAGTTTGTCACTGGTCATGCCAAATTTCCTATAGGTTTCACTGAACCGAACTACAGCCATTTAAAACATATTTTCAGTCAAAGCTCCCGCGTGAATTATTGGATAATTTTCTATGCTCATTGTAGCATATAGGAAAGTTTAACAACTATTCCATAAATTGATCTCATGTAGCTTTTAAGATCAACGAGTTTTTTAAAGATCTATGTGACTATTTTTCAGTATTTATTGAATCCTTATAGGCATGGAAGCTGGACTTCTCCCTAATAAGGTTGCCTCCTCATCCAGTCACTAAATCTGTGAACACGATTTGCCTTTTTCATGTGCCACAGAAACAAGGGAGGTTTTACATTGCATTCAACTGATCTGTCCCAGCTGCAGATCATCACAATGACTAGTGATTTTTGTCTTGCAATTTGTGTACAACTACCTGGATATACTCTGAAGGGTGCTTAATGCTATTTTCCTCTGCTGCATCTGGGGTTGTGCAAACAACTCAAATTGTTGTTGTGAAGTATGGTGGGAAATTGTCAGATAATTGTAGAATCATGATTATGTAAGGATGATGCTCACTGTCTTGATCCCAGGATCAGTGATCATTCAGCAGAATTGGAGATCACTTGGGATGTTTTATTCTAGTCTATGAGCAGGGAGGACCAGAGATGTTTATCTGCTTTGTGGCAAGGGTCGTCTTGGCTTGTCATCTCCTGCTGGTTCATTCCTCTGTCACAGCAGAGGTTTGAGGGTTTGCCCTTACAGGACACATAGGTTTGGGACATAAGAGCATGCTCCTCTGGCTGTTCCTTTCCATGGTGCAGGCACTCTGGTCTCCAGCAGAGTTTCCCTAACCCAAGCAATCGCCACTTAAACTAATGGGATAACCTTGTTACTATAATGGACTGTGATATACAGCATGTCAGTTCATACAATTTAATAGCCTGTCTGAGCTAAAAGCTCTGTGGAAGTTCAAAGTGGAGGTTTGACATGCTCAGGTCTGCTGGGGATGACTGCTCTTTTATTTCCTGGCAGCACTTACATTACATCAATTCATGGTATCACATGCCTGATCTGAAAACAGGCATCAGTTTCATGCCAGCTGCAACGCACTTTTCACCAGACAAGAAAACATCAGTGCAACTCAAAAAACTATTTGGACGGGGCTGCAGAGCTCCTTGGAGTAGTTTTATGGTGGTGTAACTTTATGATGCAGGAAGGAGAGAAAGGTGCAGATGAGACCTAACAACATTGCTATTGAATTGCAACTCACGATGGAAAATTTAACCAATGAGAGAAGTGTTGTGCTATTTACTGGATGCCAAGACTCCTAGCA